TTCCGGTAAAGACGGTGCGGGCCAGGGTGGACACAACCCCGCAAGGCCGCAGAGCCGCCTGGGACCCCGGTCGCGCTCTGCCCGAGAACCCTACCTTCTCCTCTGGACACGGGGACGTCCAGGACTTGCATTTGCCGGTCATGTCGCCGAAGAAGGTGCGCCTGCCGTTGTAGATGTAGACGCGGCCGTCCTCTCCCCCGATGAGCCCCGAGGTCATGTCCGCGATCCTCAGGGGGGCAGCCATGAAGACCTCGTCTGTGACAGTGAGACCAGCGGGAAGCGCCCACTCCCCGGCCCCCCCACTGCCCCTGCTCCTGACCGACCGACGCCCGCCTCCCTTCAATCCCAGCTGTAATGACGAGAGTAATGCTTACCTTTATACTTCCGGTTCAGTAATTGGGTCTTTCTCAAGAAATGAATGATAATACTTAAGAATTTAATTCAAACGGGACAGCTCACTCTCACTGATGTTTCTCTCTCCCTCACCCTTCCCCTCTGAAATCAATACAAATATACACGTACATATAAAAAAGTACAGCCCAGCCCGGCCGGGGTGGCTCAATGGCTGAGCGCCAACCTAGGAACCAGGAGGTCAGTGTTCCATTCCCGATCGGGGCACCGGCCTGGGTTGTGGGTTCGATCCCCAGTGTGGGGCGTGCAGGAGGCAGCCGATCAGTGATTCTGTCTCATCGTTGGTGTTTCTCTCTCTCCCTCTCCCTTCCTCTGAAATCAGTAAAAATATGTGTGTGTTTTTAAAGGTACAGCTGCAACTTTGCGCAGTGGCAGTATCGTAGCCACTGGGTTTATCTGAGGCGCGATTATCGCTAATTGAAAAAGTGCAGCTCCCCCTGTCCACCTGGTGCTGGTTGAACCTGGCTCGGAGCACCTAACGGCGGGGGCCGCCAGGGGTCAGTGGGGAGGGGCCATGCTGGGAAGGAGGCTACCTAAGCCGTCACCGTCCAGGTCGCTCAAGTGCAGGACGCCCCCGAAGCGCGAGAAGCGGCGGTCTCCGCTGAAGGTGCTGAGCAGGGCGGGCCGGGCGGCCGGGCTCAGCCGGTACATGCGGGTGGCCCCGCCCTGGTGCAAGGTCATGGTCAGGAAGGCCATCTTC